AAGTGTTCTAAAATGCTATTTTTAACTTTTGATGAACACCATCTTCAAACCATTGTATTAGGGTCCTGAAAGAGAATCTTGGTGACTAAATAAGATACTCTGTCAAAATCTGAAAATCTAAAAATAATGAGTATCTTCTATCAGGATTATGCTATAATCCTTATGTAGTGCTTGTTCTGAGAAGTCTTCTGTAAGCTCGCATGTTATGGATATGTTCATGAGGATTTGAAGAGTAAGTATTTTGGAATGGTTGATATCAGAGATGGGCAATTCCAACTCCAAAGTTGATGTTTTTTCTCATCAGAGTGAAAATGGAGTAGGAACAGGACAGAATGGAGGTGCCTATCTTTGAATTTTATGAGAAAGTTTATAAAGCAATAAATTAATGTGCTACTAATTTATATCAATCGTAGATTTAATTATGTTCAAAAACTTATGTGTATTTAAGAGTGTTTTGATAGAAGTTCAGTTTTGTAAAATCCGACTCGAATTGAAGTTAAATTGGAGCTGGAGGAAGACAGAGTGTAGTTGCTCATCTCTGTTTAGTACACAAATGTCGATCCTAATCAATACCCAGGATAACTTCTCTGGAATATTAGGAATTACTACAATGAACGAAACAGAAAAGAGATAGTCATTATCGAAGAGATTTTTGTCTCTCATACACGAGAAAGTACTATAAATGAGACAGTGTTTCTGTAACCTAGCCTTTAAAAAAAAGCACATCGTAAGGAAATGCTTTCGATGTCGAGGAAGAGAAAACTGCTTAACATGAAATTCTAAGGAGATTTCTATGTTGTAGTTTAGTATTAGAATTTGAAAAGGAAATCTTACGATTCTTTCAGTGATATTCAGCTCATTTTCGTATCGTATAGGATGTTCGAAAGAAGAAAAAAAATGATGAAATAAAATATCAAGATGCTTAAAGTCGTGTGCACTTTAAGTTTTTCATGATAGAGGTTGAAAAACGATCTCTATAATACATTAATTAGGATTTGTGTCTAAGCCGCTCTTTTAATTGTATGACTTTTTTTTTATAAAAGTCAATCCTTTTTTCAATTAAGCATAAACTATCATTCATCAGCCATGTTTGATACTTGTGATACAATATCATCTTAATACATTAAGTAGTTTCATTAGACTAAAAAGACTTTCAATAAAATGATGAAAACTCGTTATAGTTTTATCAAAAAAACTTTTTTTTGATTTTTTCCGAATTCTAAATTGCTTTTAGATCTGTTTTCTTAGTAACGAAAAGAAATTATTATCATACTTAAGCATATTTGTTAAAGCAATAATGAAAATAAGAACAATAATATCGAATTGATATGATATAACTTACAAATTCTTTCGTAGAATTTCTTAACCTACATGATATAAATATATTTAGTTTGTTTTTCGATGATTTTCTGAATGACATTCGAATCTACTATTATCATAATAATATAATAGTAAATAATTTCTAATATCGAGAAAAAAATATCATTTTTTTCTCGCTAGAAATTCTAGAAGTTATGAAAAGAGTCTATGAGCGGATATTTATTTAATCAAGTTTATTAATTTGAAGCAAAAAAATTCTCGAAAATGACCTCAAGTAAAAAAAGAGATGTTCCCAAATTGTTTAAAATGTTTCTAAGATATGCAATCTACTCACGAGGGAACCCCACCAACTGATTAAAAGCTTTCTGACTCATATTTACACCATAAGTAGTGCTTAGTGAGACTAGATGAATCCTAAAAGGATTTCCTTGAATGGGCCTATTTGGCTAAGATATGAACATTTCAAGTTTAGGAATGAAAATGTAGATAGATTGGTCGTTGTGCATGAATTATAATGTTAATGTGTCAAAAGAAAAATCTACTTTTCAAAATACTTATAGATTGAAGTGTTTTACGTATTTCTCCGAAATCATCCTGAGAGTGGTGTAGACATGCCTGAAACCTTTTTATTCGCTGGTGTAATAGATAGAAAAGTTAAAACAAATACTAAAATCGTCAGGACAACTGAAACACGAGTTGTTAGCTGTTTGTACGTAATAGTTTAGTGAGTGTGATAACCAACGAAAAAAGGAGCAAAATATAGATCTTTTCAACACCCACTACACGTGATGAAAGGCGATTGATTACATGACTCTTCGCTACCATCTTGGTGTTTCTTTTATGTAGCAGCTATATCATCAAATAAACATCATAGCATAATTTTTTCAACAGCTCCACGATTTATCGATGAGCATTTCAACAAAAAAAGTATATATTGATATATGTTAGCATTGTAATTCATGGACAACAGACAATCTCCCTACATTTTCGTCCTTAAACTTGAAATGTTCATATCTTAGCCAAATAGGCCCATTCAAGAAAATCCTTTTAGGATTCATCTAGTCTCACTAAGCACTACTTATGGTGTAAATATGAGTCAGAAAGCTTTTAATCAGTTGGTGGGGTTCCCTCGTGAGTAGATTGCATATCTTATAAACATTTAAAAAAATCTGGGAACATCTCTTTTTTTACTTGAGGTCATTTTCAAGAATTTTTTTGCTTCAAATTAATAAACTTGATTAAATAAATATCCGCTCATAGACTCTTTTCAGAGCTTCTAGAATTTCTAGCGAGAAAAAAATGATATTTTTTTTCGATATTAGAAATTATTTACTGTTATATTATTATGATAATAGTAGATTCGAATGTCATTCAGAAAATCATCGAAAAACAAACTAAATATATTTATATCATGTAGGTTAAGAAATTCTACGAAAGAATTTGTAAGCTATATTATATCGATTCGATATTATTGTTCGTATTTTCATTATTGCTTTAACAAATATGTTTAAGTATGATAATAATTTCTTTTCGTTACTAAGAAAACAGATCTAAAAACAATTTAGAATTTGGAAAAAATCAAAAAAACTTTTTTGATAAAACTATAACGAGTTTTCATCATTTTATTGAAAGTCTTTTTAGTCTAATGAAACTACTTAATGTATTAAGATGATATTGTATCACAAGTATCAAACATGGCTGACGAATGATAGTTTATGTTTAATTGAAAAAAGGATTGACTTTTATAAAAAAAAAAAAAGTTATACAATTAAAAGAGCGGCTTAGACACAAATCATAATTAATGTATTATAGAGATCGTTTTTCAACCTCTATCATGAAAAACTTAAAGTGCACACGACTTTAAGCATCTTGATATTACATTTCATCATTTTTTTTCTTCTTTCGAACATCCTATATCATACGAAAATGAGCTGAATATCACTGGAAGAATCGTAAGATTTCCTTTTCAAATTCTAATACTAAACTACAACATAGAAATCTCCTTCGAATTTCATGTTAAGCAGTTTTCTCTTCCTCGACATCGAAAGCATTTCCTTACGGTGTCCTTTTTTTTAAAGACTACGTTACAGAAACACTGTCTCATTTATAGTACTTTCTCATGTATGAGAGACAAAAATCTCTTCAATAATGATGATCTCTTTTCTGTTTCGTTCATTGTAGTAATTCCTAATATTCCAGAGAAGTTATCCTGGGTATTGATTAGGATCGACATTTGTGTACTAAACAGAGATGAGCAACTACACTCTGTCTTCCTCCAACTCCACATAACTCCAGCCCTATTTTCTAAAATCCTACTCCAACTTCAATTTAACTTCAATTCCAGTCGGATTTTACAAAACTGAACTTCTGCCAAAACACTCTTAAATACACATAAGTTTTTGAACATAATTAAATCTACGACTGATATAAATTAGTAGCATATTAATTTATTGTTTTATAAACTGTCTCATAAAATTTAAAGATAGGCACCTCCATTCTGTCCTGTTCCAACTCCATTTTCACTCTGATGAGAAAAAGCATCAACTTCGGAGTTGAAACTGCCCATCTCTGATATCAACCATTTCAAAATACTTACTCTTCAGATCCTCCTGAACATATCTATAATATGCGAGCTTACAGAAGACTTCTCAGAACAAGTACTACATAAGGGTTATAGCATGATCCTCATAGAAGATACTCATTATTTTTAGATTTTCAAATCCCATAAAATCCATAGATCCCAATGTTTGTCACTGGAGAACTCCGTTAGGATTGACATCCATCTTTTCAACATTTGCAAAAGTAGAAACCCTCTCAGATTACATAGATTCACGTGAAATCCTCTCAACTTTATTCAGTTTCGCCTGTGTCCAAGCCTTCTCATGATCTTACTCAGAGTACATCACGGTTGTTCTTCGAACAGATTCACATAACTTATCAAAAGCCTTATAAAATTTCACCGGCATTCTCTATGCAAGTACTTAGGACATTCTTCGGCAGATCTACATTCATCATACAGAAAATCATGTAACCTTAAGGTTTCCTAAAAAGCATAGGGATTAGGTTTGATGTTTTGTTGTTCAACAATTCGATATTCTTCTCACAAGATACATATAGAATCTTCTCTGATGTTCATATAAATGATCATTCTGCCAAAAAGATTCTGAATTCTTGCAATTCTGAAAAAAATCCTCAGATCCTTATGTTTTTCTATCAAAAACTTACATGGACTTTGTATTACTCTTTCTTTGAGAACCTCCTTACAACAATCTCCAGGTGTTATTTTTATGATCAAAAAGATCTTAGCAAAAACTAGAAGTAACATAGATGTAAGGGTCGTTACCAAACCCTTTTTTTCTCATAGAAAGCTAGGAAAAGACTTCTGAATTTTTATCTGTGGAATGAGCATTCTCAAAGATGAATGTCATATTTGTAGCGCTTGCTCTCACGAGAGACAGAATCCCTTCGATAACGACAATTTCTTTTCTTTTTCGTTCATTGTAGTAATTCCCAATATTCCAGTCGATGCCCGTTGGAAACAGAATGGGGTGACTGTTGCTGGAGGCCATGGATATGGAAATTCCACCAATCAACTCTACTGGCCTCATGGTCTCTTCGTTGATGATGATCAAACGATGGTCATCGCTGATCGCTCCAATCATCGTATCATCCAACGGAAGATGGGTGATACGAATGGACAAGTAGTAGCTGGTGGCAATGGCGAAGGAAATCAATTGGATCAATTGAATGGTCCAACCGATGTGTTGATTGACAAAGAGACGGATAGTCTCATTATTTGTGATTCGGAGAATCGACGAGTCGTACAATGGTCTCGTCGTAGTGGCACAACTCAAGGAGAAATCCTCGTCGACAACATCTCGTGTTGGGGATTGACCATGGATAATCAGAGATATCTCTACATCTCTGACCCCGTAAAATATGAAGTAAGACGATATCAAATAGGAGACAAGAATGGAACTATTGTGACTGGTGGCAATGGTCAAGGTGCTGGTCTCAATCAACTCAACGGGCCGACCTACATCTTTGTCGATCAACAACAGACTGTCTACGTGTCAGACTACACCAATCATCGTGTAATGAAATGGAATCAAGGTGCAAAAGAAGGAATTGTCGTCGCTGGAGGTCAAGGCCCAGGGAATGCTCTGACACAATTGTCGTATCCTAATGGACTGTTCGTCGATACATTGGGTACCATCTATGTGGCAGACTCGAATAATCATCGAGTGATACGTTGGCCTAAAGGAGCGAAACAGGGCACTGTCATTGTAGGTGGAAATGGTGACGGAGAAGGAGCAAATCAGTTCAACGGTCCCGTGGGTTTGTCCTTCGATCGACATGGCAATCTCTATGTCGTCGATCATTACAATCATCGTGTTCAATACTTTTCAATCTAATAGACTCATCGTGATAGATTTTTTTTTGCGTTTCTTTCGTTTCAAATAAATTGCATTGAATTGATGAAATGAATGGCTTATTCTATTCGCGCGCGCGCGACCAGGAACCATCCTGGTGGAGCCGTGGCGAGCGTAACGCTCATGCACGCACAGGACAGACTCATATCATTCATACCCTCCCCGCGAGAGATATGTCAATGAGTCTGAATAAGCCTGGTCGTGTGCCACGGACACCAAGACAGTTCCTGGCCGAGCTTTTAGGGACTACCCGGAAGTCCTTCATAAAAGACGAAACCCTAACCCTCAACGGGCAGAACTCATCCTCATCTCCCACTAACACTCACTATGCTAAGGCTCACCCTAACCTCGCTCAATCTCATCTCAAAAAAAAAATAATAATAATAATTACTCGCGTATTTTGGTGTTGGACGACGATAAAGACGGCACGATGATGTTGAGGACTAAAAGAAAAAAAAATTATTAATTGCAGATAAATGTATCGAAAAGAAAAGAATAACTTACCTCACTATTATCTGTTTCGTTGACTTTCCAATACCTAAAATCAAGAAAAAAAATTAATTAAAAAAAAATCCACTTACTTGAAAAATTTAATAACTATAACAAAAAAAATGTATAAAAAGAATCAAATCAATAAGAAAAAAGAAAAAGAAAAACGATTAAAACTTATACCTACATTTTTTTAATTGCATTGTATTGTCTTGTTTTGTTTTCTTTGGTATCGTCGATATTGGTCTAAAATATAAAGAAAAATTATTAGTATTTGATTCAATAAATTGAATGATTCTACATAGAAAATCATTCATATATATACCCTCGAAAAGGTTATTGGGAGAAAAATTCAATTCTTTTTTTTTAGTGTGTGATTAACAGACGTCTAAAATTAAGCTTTCATCGGGTCACACACATCCATTGAGATATAGTCAATCACAGATATCTCAATTAGGGGTGGCACTTTATCTTTACTTTATCAAGTAAAGTAAAGTTGGGTTACTTTACTTTACTGGATAAAGTAAAGTAATCCTACTTTACTTTATCGGATAAAGTAAAGTTGG